TCCTAGAATACAGAATAAGGGTACCCGATTCTTTTCTGTAGTCAATTTTAGTAGGGGAACCCTCCCAACCAAAAAAGGGTATATAAGAGAGACCTAGTTGCTTGGCATCCGGGACCCATGGGACTCATGGGACTGTCAGCATCCGGGTCGGATAAAAACCATGCGACGCGTTGGAACGGGTACGTTGCGCTGAAAGGCAGTGGCTTCACCTTCTGATTTCCTCATATATCCTTTCATTTGGTTTAGGCTCCAGGAAAAGATGAACAAAAATCCAGTAGTGATGAATTCCTTGCTAACCCAACAAGGGGGGAAATATATATTCCTTAGCAAATGGAGGCATCTCATATGCTCCGGCTGGTCATGATATGTGGCTGCGGGGTGATGATCAAATCCTCTTGCATTGGATGCTTGAAAAAGGCGGTCCAAACCCCGAACATGATGGCCTCCAAGCAAACATCAAATGTCTTGACAGGCTCGAGGCCCCGAGACTGAGCTGACCTTCGCTTCTGACGTGACAAAGGTTTATCTTGGATATATGCTAGGTCCTCCAGTAGAGAGGTTAGAATCACCTGTCTTCTGTAGTCGTTCTTTAGTAGGGGAAGCCCTTATGGCTCCCTGAGGAACCAGGAAGCAGAATCTGCTTCCGTTGAGGCCGGCTAAGGAGCTACAGTATTTTCATAACTCCTGTTGCATCTGGTTCTTTCCTTTTCGATCTGATTCAGCCCCCCACCTAAATCACAAAAACGGGAGCCAACATTTTGAGAACTAGCCAAATGCGAAAAACAAAACTGCAAATCGATTTCCGTGAAGTTCAAACAGCTCGAATCGAACCAACGTGCCAAGCTTGCGCGAGCATGCCACTCGCTTCCGAGTGGATTTGTGTACCCTCCCACCTTTCTCAATGGAACCTGACGTTCGGGACATGGTCCCTTTAAAAGTGGAATATGGTATAAACCAGGCCCCCCGGAAACGTCAGGTTCCGCGTGAAAAGGGTGGGAGGGTACCACTAGAATGGCCCAAACCCAACCTGTTGAAAGTCCCAAACAGAACTCAGGGAGTGAGGCCATGGAGAGCAAACCGCTGCAGTGTATTGTTTGGCAAATGTCAGGAGTGTAGCAAACCAAACATGAGGAATTCATTTTAACAAGACAGAGGCAAACATGGACAAATCCCTCATTTTAACAAGGCAAAGGCAATCATGTGTTGACAGAAAGACATCGCCTCCAAGACAAATGACATTGGCTTCTGTCAGAGCCCAGCCTTTTGCTACGTCAAGCGAATATGTCTTGTGATGTAGTATCCCGATGCGATGAAGGCGAAACATTGTTGGCCACTTCGGTCTGTAACCAACTGTTCTCACCCCTTGCCTGGCCGAAACATGCTCAAACTAGCAATTTGCAAGTAAACATGTCAAGAAGCAGAGATTACTCAATTCTTTCAGAATTGGCCGGAACAGCTTCCAATCTGTCTAATACTACTTCAGTAATTTTCTCGTTGAGTACTGAGTTTCTATTATTGGTTTAGTAGTCATCTAGCTAGTACTGGATCAGTAGAGATCTGTAGTACGACTGCAAACGGGGCCGGCGTGGATGATCTTTCAGATTCGAGGCAAAACAAGCTTTCAGCTCACTATGAGAGGGACATTTTACTTTTACAAAGCAGGGAGGCTTTGGTCTACCTTTTCATTTACCAAGGGGCCATTTTGGGAATTCCTTTTTCTGAGCCGCAGCCATACGCGGGCTTGCTTGCCAAGCGGCCCCAGCATGAAATGGTACATGGCCAGCCTGCCCCAAATCATGTCGGCAAAAAGGACCTCGGAGCGCACATGAGTCATACAGAAAAACCTGGTACAATGGTGCACCCCAAACCATGTAAGGAGTTTCCAAGGCGGCCGCACCTATTGATGGTTGGGATTGTCCCTTACTACCCTCCAATTACCTGGATTTTGATCTTGGCGCACATCAACTGCTTGACATGAGGGCGAGTGGCCACCACAACTCTTGATATGAACCCGATATGGGTGCATGCGCCACCTCAACCCAATATCAACTATTGATATAAGCACTTCAACGAACACAAGCACATATTCATTCAGCAAAACGGAAGCTGAGATCTGCGGTCTGAAGTTCAACCCCGAAGTCCGTCGGCCGCGATGGCCGTGGCACAACATCCACACGGAAGCGCTCTATTCGGCCGAGTGGCCACCACGGGGTGGGAAACGATCTTCGGATCCTTGAACTCCGCCAGCCACGCCAAGGCCTGCGGCCAATCAAAGCGCAACGGGGTGAACGTGAAATAGAAACATACTGTGGATGGACGAAATCCATATCGCACCACTTTTGAAACCATGGTTGAAACCATTGTTTGTTGGTATTTACAGGGGAATCGCATCATTCCAGGGTTTCTTAGGTGGTGCCTAAGAGGATTTCGCAACCATCCACAGGACCGATTTGCTAAAAGCTTCGCTTGGTGAAATGGAGCTGAACCAACTAAGAGCCCTAAGGGAATGGAACCAGGGCAAAGGAACAGCAACTTAGGTGCAGATTTGAGAGCTCAGACTAAGGTACCCGATTTGTTTCTTCTTCTGCAGTCTATTTTAGGGGAACCCTCCCCCCAAAAAGTTGGTAAAAGGGAACTACTCCTATTGAAGGCCGAAAAAAAGCGAGAGTGGGTCTGTGGGGTACTTTTAAACCAAGTTTGGCCATAGGAGTAAACTATGAGTGATGAATTAGACCCATACATCCCCTGAGCCAATGTGAAGATCACAAGGGCAGATATCCGCACCTATTTCTAATGCCTGTCCCAGCTGTACTTGGAGACGTACACAGAATGCAAAGGGAAACCCATCTGAGACACTTCCCGGCTCACTTTAGTGGACGCTGGTCGTCTGGGAACTACTGGGGGACTACTGAGGGACCTAGAATTTCTAGCACCGAAGCCCCAACGTGCCGAAGCCTGGTTGAAGTACTCGTCCTTGTCTTGGACGAGGTGCCTTCACGCGAGGTCAAAGGCTCGCCCTTTCCTTTTTTTTGAGGCGGTACCTGTTTTGGGGTTGGTTTCAAAGGGGAAAGCAATAGCACAACCACCATTTGCTTCCATGTCGAGTTCGCAATTACCTATCTTTTTGGTGGTTTTAAAGGGAAACCGCGAGCAAAACCACGATGTCGCGCACTTTTTGGAGTTGCTACCCCCCTTGGTGTACCATATCCTCACAGACCTGCATTCCCCCAGCTCCCAGTCCGGCCTTCCAGCCATCAGCCAGTGGTTTTCAAGGGAAACCATTGGCAACACCACCCATTTTGGAGGGTTCATCCATCAAAAAGACACAACTATGCTTTCTGCTCCCCTGCTAAAAGTTTAACTTTTAGTGGTTTAGGGGAAAACCCATCAGTTGGCAAAAACTTAAAGTCCTAACAGCCCTTGGCAAAAATGCACCAAAGACAAGAAGTACATGGGGTGAAAACCAAAACATATATGCCGATCTGCACCCGTTGGGATGGATGAAACCTTTGAATTCTGCTGGACAAAGCACCAATCCCAACTGCTGCGAAATGGAGTTTGCCCATCCACAAAATTGGCTGTTCTGTTTAGCCCCATGAGAATGTGTTGGAACTTGGACCATCTTGGAACCCTCGAGGTTGCGTCCGTTTGACAGTCTGCACTCGTTTGACAGGATGTCTGGTGTTCTTGGCCCCATGAGGATTTGATAGAAGTTAGAACAAAGCACTCCGCAGACTCCACAGGACATTGAAGATCCCAGACTCGCAGTGGATGTCTATGCAAAAAAGAGACGCGGCAATCTTTCGTTGGCCGTTGACTCGTTGACTTTCAAGGATTTTTTCCGGATGTTTGGTTGACAAAGGGAGCCCCCCCTCCAAACAAAGAGCTTAAGGTGCCCTGTCTGGGGGATGTAATTGCAAGGCTTGCCAGATTTGGGGTTGACCCAACCGCCAGAGGCTTGCGATTTCGGTTGGACCCTTGTGGCCCCTGTGAGTCAAGCTGCTTGACGTAGAAGTTCACGCGCCGCATGCCTGGCGCGAGAGGCCAAGTCGCATGCGTTCGATGGAGCAAACAGCAGCGCTGCTTCAACATGTTCAAATCAACAAAGTCATAGCAAAAAACAAAAACAAAAAAGCTGCTTTCCTTTCAAAAGCACAGCTGGAATCTGTCAGACTTGACACTTGGCGATAGTCCAAATTCACAACCTAAGTCAAACTCCATATGTCAAGTCGACTAAAGGCGGAGCTGTCTGCTTTCCTTTCGCTTCAAATGGCGTAGGTGTGTCACTGACAGTTTTTTTGGTACGACAGCAGGAAGCAATAAAGATTGATAAACATACTGCCTAAACACATCCCATCAACGAGTCTGCTGCAAATTCACCTTGACATGCCGGTGGTTGGAGCACTAGGCAGGCTCAAGGCAATTCTGCACGGCGAGGGGCCTTGAAATCAGTCTTTTTGAGGGGAGTGGTCCCCTTAGAACACTCCCCCCCCCACCAAACACATCAAGCCAACAAGCATTTTTAAGCTTTTCACGGCCAAGCACTGTCGCATGCCCACAACTCCAAACGTGCTCAGGCAGGCAAAGGTGGCCTTCTCCGGTGGGAGGTGACACTCTGAGTTGAGCCTTTTAATTTTGCGCCTGTGCATGTGGCTGTGGGTCAAAACCCAGGAAACCCCTAGTGAACATCAAAATAGGTGGCAAATGAATGTTCATCCACCCCAAAATGGGATCGCCATAGGTTATGCAACCCATGGCCATGTGTGCGGAAATCACACATGCGGGATCCTCACCAGCCCAAGATGGTTCCAGGCTGATTCTTCAGAAGTTCGGCGACTTCCAAGGTGACTCAAGTGACCAAGGCTCGCTGTAAGCGCCACTCTTTGATCAGCTTGCCACCGCATGTTCCAGGGTGGGCATCGCACTCCCGCATCAAGGCAGTTGATGGGCCCAAGGCTAGGCAGGCCCTCTGTTTGGGTAAAAATATAGGAGGTTTCTCAAACTTGTCGAAAATGGCTGACTTCCTTTTGGTTTCCCTTTCTTGCTAGCCAAAAGGGGAGAAACAATCAGAAAGCGTTAAGCCACACCGAACCCAGAAACTTTCAATAGAACACACATGTTTCCGGAACATGCGGGCTCGTGGGCCACTGTCCTTCAGGGAGAAAGCGTTGAAACTGAACAAAATATTCGAAATTCTACGAGGTCATCCCATGACAATGTATCAATATGAAGCAGGGGACCGCAGGTTTTAGGCCATGTTTCCATTTGCCAGGGTTCGATTTTGGGTACCCACGGCCATATCAACAGAAACATGTCTGTTGACAATGAAGATGACCTTGAACCAATGCAAGAAACGTACGCACGAGCAAACGCCTCGAGAAAAAGGCTTAAGGACTTGGGCAAAATATATGGGTGGCTCGTCATTGGTTTGAGGTTACCTTTTTTTTGATGGTCTCAAAGGGAAACCAAAGGCAAACCACCCACCATCACCCACCCAAAACGGGTTCCCTTAGAAAGACACACAAAATACCAAATCAAAGCGGATAGTCTTTTGCCTGAGTTAGGGCGGATGGAGTTTTGTACCCGTCACCTACCCAGGTGTTGATCGCGCCCGTGTTTCCATGGGTGCCTTTTTTGGGGAAATAGATGGATTTCCCTGGTGGTTGATGGAACCACCAGGTAAACCAGGGCCCTCTATTTTCACACCAATTCAACCAACAAAAACCCAGGGCTCTACTTTTTGCACCTCAACCAAACAAACCAGGGCCCTCTACTTTTTGCACCAAATCAACCAACAAGGACACCTATCTATGTTTACCTACCCGGATTTTCTGTTAGCGGCCGTGTTTCCCGGTCGCTTCTTCGAGCGCCACCTCCATCCGACGAAACCAACTCCTCCTCGCCTGCAGAGGTGAGCCGCGAGCGCCAGATCAGCCCATCCAGCAGGGTGGTGAGCAGTGTGGGCGCGTCGGCACCTCTGCGCTGTTCTGTTCTGGTTGATTGGTGTAAAAATAGAGGGCGCTGTGTGCATGTGTGTGTGTGTGTGTGTGTGTTCCACCCCCCCCCCCCGGCGTTTTGGCGGCCTCCGAAAATTGTCCAGCGCCCAAAGTGGCACATCTTCTTGCTGGTGCGATAGGTGTCCTTGATCCTTTAGTGGCGTTTTTACAGGGACACCATGAAACACCCAAAACACACCAGCCTGTTTTCTGAGCCTAAAACAAACTGGCTGGTGCTCAATAGGGAATGTGGTTGAACCTGTTGGACCTGTTTTCTTGGGCGCAAAGGCTTCAGAACACACTTTCGAAGTCGGATATGATACTTGAGCATGTCTCCGTTTGGTGGTACCCCTTTTTGAGTAGTTTAAAGGGAAACCAATGGGAAAACCACCATATGGTGTTTGTTTTGTTTCTTTTTGGGAGGGGGTCCCCCAAAAAGACACCCATATCAGCATTTCAGTAAAAAATAGTAAAAAAATGCTACACGAGCCTTTCTGGCATGTTCTGCTTCACAAATTGCTGCATTGTATGCGAAAGATCTCGATGGGCAATGTCGCAAGGTTGAAGCATCTAGCGCAGCCTTCAAGATGAAAACTCCCCGGCAAATTAACGTAGAAATTAACGTAGAACTCCCCTGTTAAAGGGTTCACAAAAGCGCGCATGCATTGCAAGTAGTTCAGAAAATGACACCACCACCTCTTGCTACACTCAGATGCCCAGTGGCCATGGGAAGAAAAGGGCATCCTTTCTTGGTTGGTTGACTTTAAACTGGGCAACTGGGCTCAGAAAACGACACCACCTCTTGCTACAAAGCCAAGCCATCCGAGCCGCAAAGTCGATGGATCACTTCAGGGTGCCGAGAGAAAAGGGCGTCGCAGCCATAGTAGTAGTTGTCCCGGTCTGCGCGGATGGTCAGCAGGTCTTGCAGCATCGCCTCGCATCCCGGAAACAAAAGGGGGTCTACATCCTTCGAGTTCGAAATCGGCTGCTCTGAGAAAATCAACAGCAACAAAAGCTAGACCTGCAGCTTCAAACGACTAGACTTTAGTATTAGTTTGTACTGAAAAGATGATGTTTCAACCAGCCGAAACGACAAACATGCGGAGCCCATCACCAGAATGGTCTTCAAGTAGCTGCCGGAGCTCGTCCGATGCGTTTGGCGAGGCCTTTACCAAGCCCCACGCAGAGTCACCATATACCAAAGTCACCCCGGTCACCCCGGTGGTAGGAAAATAAAACGATTCCGCTTTCTGACTTCGACAAGTACCCTCTAGAAACGGTCAAAATCATGGGCCCAGGGATTTGTGTGGGTCGGTGTTGCAGCACATTTTTTTGGGTGGGGTGGGGGGGCAAAACATCACCAGGGCAGTCTAGCTTCCCAACTATCGACTTGGACTAGCGGTGAAGGTCTTCAGGAACCAAAAGTTACCCGCAAAAACACAATCCGAGCCTCCAAAAAACTCGCTGAGTGGATTGCTTCGCTGGTATCATCATGTTCGGTCCGGGTGTGTTTTTGTGCAATTCTGCAAAGGACCTCCAAAATTGAGTGGGAAACCCCAACCCCGAAAAGGGTATTTTTCAACAAGAAAAGACATACCTGGAGTCTCCATGACCCTTTAAAAATGGGGGTCGTTACCCAACATAATGGGGTCATGGACCCATTTTTTAAGGGTCATGGAGACTCCATCTACCTCTCAACTGGTAGCCCAAAAAGCTTAAAGTCCAGGAACTCAGGAAGTAAGAATTGGTTTGGGAATTCCTCGCATCGGTGGTTTGGTGCTTCAGCGATGGGGAACCCACGAAACCCTCTACACTTGGCTGGAAAAATCGGACCCCAGCATTTTGTTTTGTCTGGTTAGTGGAAAACAAAGGGGACCCCAAAAAAGGCAAAAAAAGGAAAAGGGGAAGCAGGGGTTCAAATCCAAATCCAAACCACCAATCCCCGCCACCAACTGGTGACCTGACGTTTAGTCATCAAGCAACCGCACGAAACACAATGAGGTCAGCCAAGAAAACTCCGGCAGAGGAGTGCAGCCAGGCGCGAAATCCCCAGCCGAACAGAGTTTGGTTGCAAGCCAACTGCTCCAATTGGCGACCCCTCTTCAAAATTCGGTTGCAACCGGTCCAGTTGCGCCACAACACAAGCGCCATGAAACCAACCCTGTCCCCAGATTTTGGCAGAGGGCGGGGTGACAGACCCAATCAGCTGGCAAAACCGCCACCTCTTGATTCCAAAGCATCGTTTGCTTAAGCCCCCTGCAACAAAGATCCGATAGCTTCCCGCAGGATAGAAAACGTGTTCATTTCATCGGCGAAAGAAAGCGGGTCCCGGCCTTGGCGCAAATCAGACTCCCGCTCTCGATGGACCAGTAGAAGGGTGAGATCGACTGTGTGCCCACCTGCAGCCCGAAATCTCCGAAATCTGAATCTGGATCTCGTGGACAAGTTGAGGTTGCAGCCCCGATTTCTGCTGAGCTGCCCTCAGATCCCCCGCTCAAAGTTTAGAGTTTAGTAGGTCAAATGGAAACTACCACTAAACACTAAAAGGCTAAAAGGCTAAGGGGATGGCTGGGAGCCACCAAGTTTAGGTTTTCCTGTTGGTTTCCTTGGCTGTCCTTTTTGGCTTCCCGGGTTTTTCGAGGTTTTTGGGTCTCCCTTCAAAACCATCCACAAAGGGTCCCGACGTACCGAGCCTCCAAAACAGCCGAGCCACCCACATGGACATGATTTGTTTCATTGGGGACCCTTTGGACATGGGAAAGGAGCACACCCGCCAGCCACTGTTCAGATTTGTCCGTTGAAATTCTCGCCCGAATGAACACTTGATTGACCGCTCTCTGGCTGAGTGAATGGCCCAAAAAAAGTCCAAACTTTATATGTCCCACTAAAATGGTCTTCTCAAAAAGTTTAAAGCTCATGAACTCAGGAAGTGAGCCAGGTTTCCTTAAGGGGAACCTGACTGCGTCAATACTTTGCCATGGCGACGCAAGATCACGGGTTTTTTTCCGGAGCGCTTCTTCAAAAAACGATGCGTGGGGTCCCCCCGCCGGGCCGGATTTGGGGTACCAGCGCTGAACATGTGGAACTCACGCCGCACCGGGTTGGCGCGTGCGCGCAAGCCGGCAGAGGGCGCGTGCGCGCAAAAGGACGAGCGCACGCGATACAAATCATGCCAGTAAAGTGATAATATTATGAAAGAACCTCCGGGGGGGGGGATCATGTTGAAACAAACCGAGGACCCGTTCGTTTTTGTTCATCCTAACAAAATATATATATATATATATATATATCTTTGGGCCCAAAAGAATTCACGCGGAGGTCCCACAACCGGTTTGGGTGGAAACGAACACCTGGGCAGGTCCCCAACCGAACCCCGGCCATTGACGGGATCATACTCCAGGCTTGTTACGACAAGGGGTGCTGGGCAAATCTGGTATCTGAAGACAAAGGGTCTGTCCATTTCTGTACCCATTTGAGTCATCTCCGAGCCTCAAAAAAGGGGATGGAGTCCAGGAAGCCAGGGAGTGAGATGAGGATGCGAACCATGTTTGGGGTGAACCTTGCCCTGAATTCGTCCTTTGGTTTGGTGGTTTGGACGCTGGATACCTTCCCTTATAAAGCCTTGGCATGGTAGAAAAAACATTTTTTTGTGCGGCCCCCTAAAAATCGCCAGAACACCAAACAAACTATATATTCAAGAAACAAACAACACTAAGACACGTCAAGACCAAAAAAAACAACCCAAACCCCGCAAAAAATATCTGAAGTGGGTATACCTACCCCGAAAAAAACAAAATAAACCTAACTGCCACCCCCCCCCTCTCCGCCCCAAAGCCGCCCGCTCGGACGCGAGCGAGGGGCTGTGATGTTCAGCAGATCCATGGCGCGCCGCCCCCGCGGCGCCACCGCCACGGCGCGCTTCAGCGACTGCCACGAGCAACCCGTGCCGGCGGGGTGGGGGGTGGTTGGGGTGGTTGGGGGGGGGGGTGGGGGATTGGGGTTGGTTGGGGTGGGTTGGGCTTGGAGGGGTGGGGGAGGGGGGGTGGATGGGGGGGGGAGAGGTGACGGGAAACATGTTCTTCGTTCAAAAAGGCCGAACGTTTGCAAAAAGTGATCAACACGGGAAAAACACACAATTCATTCCTGTGGTCATTGTTTAATGTTACCTATAAGGCAGGGCATATTTGGGGGGGGGGAGGGGGGGGCGGGCAGGGAGTGAGTCCAAAAAATTAGGGGGGGGGGGGGGGGGCAGGATGAAAATAATAGTAGAAGGACGTGGTGCTGAAAACGGTAGTCCCCCCCTTCTTTCAAAGGTGAAGTTGTTTCCTGGTGGGGGAAATGCCACTGACATGGTCTTCCCAAGAGGTACAAAGTGGAGGAACGTACCCCTTCCAAAAGAGAGAACTTGTTTCCTGAAATGACTGAACACCAGAAAGGCACCAACAGCACAGCTACACACACGCTGCGTTTCAAGAAACCACATGGGGAGACTCATTCCGGATTGCTTTTTGGGAAGCCTCAATCAGGACACCTTAAAACGTGGCTTCGCTCTTCTTTGGACTCGGAAAATGTGTGCCAGGTGTGCCCTTGAGGGGGTCTTTTGCGGAACATCCCTCAATCCACCAGGCCTGGTGGAAAGTAGCCCTGGAGCCATTGTCCCATTGGGAGGGGTTTTGGATCTCCAAATCTCGGACGGAAACCTCCTTTGTCCAAGGTCATTGGTCCTTTTGTGGCTTTAAAGGGACACCTAAAGGAAACCAGCCAATTTGCTGAGCCTTCAAAAAAAACTTGTTGGTGCTCAGTAGGGAATGTGGTTGTATGAACCCAACAACTCCCCGGAAACCACCCGTTGGATAGAACTTATCTCGGGGTCCTTCGTTTTCTCATTCCCTATGGCACCAGCAAGAAAAAACAGGACACGCCAGAGGGGAAAGCACCAGAATAATGAAGAATATGGCACCCTGATTCACCGCCTCCAGACACCCGCCTTTCTTAGGACATGTTTGTCCGGGAAAAAAAAAAGAGGTTTCGCCCGGGAAAATGAGCAGAAATCAAAAATCCCCATAAATCGGATCCCCATGGCCTCAACCCCGAACCGAACCCTCAGCCTTCTCGGAGTTGGTGTTCACCGCTTTCATCACCACCGTGGAGCCTGAAAACGCGGCACGTGCCGCCGAAGCCGCGTGGCTTCCGGCGCGAAGCGAAACACGTGGCTTCAGATTCCAACTAAACTTGGTGGGGTGGTGGTTGTGGAAGGGCTTCTTAATGTACCTTTTACAAGAACGAGTTCAAATCCCAAATACCCAATCCAGAGGGAAGCTGAGTACTGGAACATACTCTGAACAAATCGCGTATATCCTGGTGCACGCGCAAAATTGAATGATACCAACAGCAGCCACTGATTCCAATGTCCAGTGTTCACGTGCGAGGGCCCAGAACTCTTCTTTTGGGTGGAGTGATGATGGATGTCAGAAAACAAACATGCTCATGACCAAGGCTGCTGACAGCATTCGGCAGGTGATCCCGACATCCTGTTTTACCACCGACAAGTGCAAATGACATTGGCAGTGGCGCTTGCATTGTCAAAAACTCCTCGTGCGCGACCACCTGCTTTTCAGAAACCCTTTCGAAGCGTTTCTGTTATGCCTCTGAAGGATGTCAATTGGGTCACATTGGCCGCTCACTTTAGCCAGCAATCTTGGCCTTCAAATGCAGCAAAATGGCGCACAAACTCTCATCTCCATTTCGGGTCCCCAAATAAAGGACACCGTCATATGGGCGGGTCTTTTTTTTTTGGCGGCCCCCATGAAAAATAGGTGGTTGCAATTCGGTTTCCCTGTAAAACCCACCAAAAAGGGATGACACCAACCACTTGGAGACTTGGAGAGTTGACACACCCCGACCCAAGCCGACAATCGCCCCACAAAGAGGGCCCAAGCCTATTCTCACAGAGTGGCATCTATCGAACTCTCATCTCCATTTCGGGTCCCCAACTTTTTTTGGTAAAAAAAGAAACAAAAGGCAAACATCATACGGTTGCGTCCTTTATCGTTTCTTCATGAGCAACCAAATTGACGGATGGACCAAATTAGACCAAACCAGGTTGACCAAAAATGGACCAATGATTTTCCTGAGCTTCCGGCGATTCCCCAAAAACTGGGTCCTCCAGTAGAGAGGTTAGAATAAGGGTACCTAGCTGGGGGGCCTAGAAAAGGACCCCAGCATGTTTATGTTATTGTTGCCTGGTTGGTGGAAAACAAAGGGACCCCAAAAAAAGCAACATCACAAAAAGGGGAACTCCTCCTTCTGGGGAACAAAAAGGACGAACCCAAAAAAAAGCAACAAACAAACAAAACAAAAGCAAAAGCAAAAAAGGGAAGAAGACGGACCGAGGGGACCTCCTTCTGGGGAAGAAGCACACGGACCGTTTAGCTCCCCGCGGGAATTTTCATTTGTCCCGGGGCCCAATCGAAACGGGATCGCCTTCCAAGATGGTCCGCACCAAGATCTTGGCCACCAGAGTCAGCGACCACCGGAAGGCCGACTCCGCGTGCTCGTCCTTTGGGACGTTTAAACCACCCGAAGGCCCGACGAAAAAAACACAAAAACCGACGTTCCAAGGGGGAAGGCAAAGAAAAAAATCGGGGCAGGCAGCGGGGGTTGAGGCATTGCAGTGAATCATGTGCGTAATTGTCTTCTTCGAGGTTGGACCCCCCCAAAATTGCTGGTGTGTTCAGCTTGTTGCCCTTTGAACAAAAAGCCAACATAGGGGTAGAGGTGAGCCTCAAACAAAAGACATGCGGGCGTCTCTCCAATTTGGACCCCTCGGACATGAGTGGGCTTTGTCTGGGTTGGAGACCCATTTAAGGGCCCGGCGGCGAAAGCGTAGAGTAAGAGCACATCAGTGCTTTTTGTCTTATCCTTCAACCTGTTCTGGGCTGCAAAAACTGATCCCCTGCTAAAAGTTTAACTTTTTCTGGATTTCACGGAAACCCAACCACGAAACCAACGGAAACCACCTAAAACCTGTGAGTTGAACCGGAGCTCCCAAGTGGGCTATAACTAGGCTTACTAACCACTTACCTGACGTACCCGATTGGTTTTTGCAAGTACTTCTCGCCTGGCAGCGGTTGAGTGAACCCAACTTGGGGCTAAATGAACAGCGGCCCCAAACTAAATACTTCCATTTGGTTGAGACCCCTGGAAGAAATAAATATGTCCAGTAGTGATACTGTCTTTTTAAAACCAACAAGAGAACATATTCTGAAGCAACTGGAATAATATAGAACTACGCACTCCCAACCAACCAACCAACACCAGCCAGCCCAAACAAAACGGAAACTGTTTTTGTCTCATCGCTTTCCTGAATAATCTAGATGTGTGAAGTATAACAATGTTTACTAGAGTGAAATGAGGAATCCACAAGGCAACAACAGACATCATACATGTGGTGGTGCTTTAATCTCAAAGTCATATTGCCATGATCAAGTCCGAACTGGCCTATGTAGAAACGTAGACCCTTTGTGCAGCAAACGAGCCTTTTTTCTTGGTAGGGGGGGGGGCATCAGGATTCAAACAACTCGCCAAGATGGCATCTACGGCCTCTCAACTGTTAGCAGATCCCTATGATTCCCTCCGTCTCATCTGGCTGGTGGGCAACATGGAGGCAAGTGCACTTCCCAGGAAATGCTGTAAAGTTCTTTACTCTGTCTCTGACGTCTACCACACTACATCCACGTGCCAAAAAAAAACAGAGCCTGTAGATGAACAACCAGGTCAACCAATGCCATCAAGTTCTTGAGCATGCTTGAGCAGCGTTCTGAGTCCATACCAACACAGCGTCCATATTGATCGATACAGCTATTGGACAAATATTTCGCTAGTGGTGTCAAACCACGCTTGCCGTGTTAGGTTTAGTCCTATAGAGCCAAGTGCACTGAAAAGCTTAAGCTTTGTGCACCTTCATAGAATACCAGCTCCGCAACAAACCAATCCACAGGCCTTCGACTTCACACGGATTCCGGATGCGTCTAAAATGAGGAACCCCCAAAAGCTCGTCTTCCTTTTGGGAGACCCCCCCAACAAAAAACTGTTGTCATTTGGGAAGCGCCAGAAAAACTGTCGTCTTGTGGGCAACCCAGAAAAAGGTCGTCGTCCTTTTCGGGTTCCGCTTCAAAGAAGCGAAGAGTCTGCTCCAAATAGGTCAATCCACAAGGTGGACATGTCCTCGTGGCTTCCCTGAATCCAAGTTGTACCCCCTCCCCAACCCCCAAAAAAAAGGCACGACCTCCCCCCCGCCCAAGAAACAAAAAAAGAAAGCCATGATCCACCTGCCCCAGTTGGATCCTCGAAGCGATTCGGCTTCGGATTCGGATGCGAGGGGCGGTGGTGAGGGTGCGCACCACATCCACAGCGCCCGAGACGAAGGGCGAGAAGAGCTCCGTGGGGATGGCATAGCCGACATGGCCTCAGCTGGCATCGCGCCGTTTTTTTTGGAATCGGACACCAAAGCAGTGGTTTTTCAGTTTTTTTTTCTGGTTAAACCACACGAAACGGGTTGGCAGAGCGCCTTGTTTTTTGTTGGTGTGTGTTTTCTTCTTTGTTTTTTTTGGGGAATTAGACATAATCAGACACCACGTACACGGCTTGTCTGATGTCTTCCTTTCTGGTGTGTGATTGACAACCAAAAAAACAGCCACACTCAAAAATCGACAGACCCAAACTGGTATGTTTGATGTTTTGAGGGTACCCTCCACATGGAACCACACGGGATCCTGGACGATTGTCTTCCAAAAGGAAGCTGCTGGTTCCATGGTGGAAAGGAGGGCACTCTTTTCTTGGCTTCAAGAAATGCCAGGAAAAGCACCAGGTTGGGGCTCTCCTTTTGAGACAGTGCTTCGTCTGGCTTCAGGATGCCATGGCTATGTAGCTTACACCCGTGACCAGCCATCATGGCTTCATGTCGTGGGAACTGCGCGCTGCATCAGCACATCTGAACATCTGAAGGGCGCTCCAAGTTTGCCTGAGTCACAATCAAAACCCGGCATTCGAATGGTTGACCCAGAACCATGTAAGGAAATACGAAGGCGGCCGCAACTATTTATGGCTGGGATTGTCCCTTGATTACTAACCTTCATCTACCAGGGTTTTGATTGTGGCTCACCTGTGTTTGCCATTCTCGCTAAAGAGAAACAGTCTCTGACCAGAGCTGGCCTGGAAAAATAGATGGTCTTCCCTGGTAAATGATTATAAAACCCCATCGAAACCAGTGGAACCTCTCTATTTCTACCCAAATCGATCAAACATTGAAGTGTCTGACTTTGATCACTGGAAAAGGGTCGAAAACTAATCACCAAGTGAATTAGACCCAATTCCGGGATTCCGGAAAGGCCATCCTATACATCAGTGCACCCTGAACAGCCATGGATCTGCCGTCCGAACACCAGCTTGGACAGAAATTCCAACGGACGCCGGGAGAAACACCCCCCAACCCAGATGGACTCCCCAAAATGGCTTCCGTACCCCTTCATGTTGACCCCATATTCTCAAACCCCAGTTAATTCTTGGGGGTGTTCCCCTCCAAAAGTGATGAATCCCCGCTAAAACCAGGGAGAAGCACCCCCAATATTTATAAACAGGGGCGTATGAATATGGGGTCAACATAAACAAAGCGGCGTGGTTGTCTTATGCCAATGACACAGTGAGATCACTATCATGATTTTGCCCAGGGCTTTTCGCCCAGTTTCCTCTGACCAACTCAGCCGCAAACAACATTCCAGGGCAATTATGTATGGGTTTTGGAACTATGGAGGCTATAAACCACAAGTAATCCGCCGTACAAGCTCATATGGGTGTGGGTCAAAAAACTGTACCAAAATGGCTCCTTATGGAACCGTAACCCCAGCCTCTGAATTTGGCGCCACCCCCATATTGGTGGCAACATCTGGACCTCCAAGCCCCCGCTCCCTGAAGATGTCGCCCTCGACAACCGGAAACAAATTCCCCCTGGGCAGCAGACGCAAGCCCATCGCAGAGAGATCCTCCACCATCGTCTTTGGTTGCTTGTACATCTCCACGGTTAGCTCAATGATCCTCAGCGCTCCGAATTCACCATAAAGGGACCGTGCAAAACATTTCTGGGGAATGGCTTCTTGGATGGTTCTCTAATTTTCAGGAGTTGGGGTGGTCCGGAATCCTATCCTGTACCGGTCTCCTGTGGTAAACATGTCGGGCAGTTGCACAGCTGCGTGCCTCCACTCGCTTGCAATCAACAAGAAGCAGCAAGCGCATGATACGGAACAGCTATATGGCCATGGGTCAAAACCCAAATCGTAGCCCCAGTGAACATCCCAATCCAACCACAAAAATAGGTTCGAACCTGGGTGGTGAATTCGCCTACCAACCAAAATGGGATCCCAAAACGGTTTTGACCACCACAGCTATATCAACGCCTCCGCTTTAGGGTGAGCCGGGTGAGACCTTTGCCATTGCAAACCTTTTCAGCTTTGCAGAAGACTAGTTCACTTGAAGATTTAAAAACAAAAACATGTTTTTGGGTGGAAACAAGTTCAGCTAAAGCAAGCAACACATATTACATACAAATCCAATACAATTGAAGAAAGACGTTTTAGTTTTGAATACAAAGCCAATAATAAAAGATGCTGCCCACACAAGTCACAACATGCATGGCTTGACATCCTTGCAGCCTTGGGCGTGTCATTTTGGGAAAGGTTCCCCCCCCCTTTTTGTGGTTTGAAAGGAAAACCAAAGCGAAAGCCGAAGCAAGACGCACCAATATGTGTCATATGTTTGGACATTGACTTGACTGCACTAGGCAGCTCAAATGGCTCACAATGCGGGGCTCTTGTGATTCTTGAATCGTGCTTGATACCAATGAGCCCGGCCCAGTCCGCAAACCAATCTGGATTTCATAAAAGAGATGTATGCATAGGTGACCTTTTAGGTTGGAAGTAGATGGATTTCCCTGGTAGATGATTCAACCACCAGGTAAACCAGGAATCGAAACCCATCTATTTTTCTACCAAAACCAAAAAGGACACCTATGGATGTATGACTACATGCCCTTCTAGAACTCCTGGCCCCACCCCGTTTGTTCGATGTCAATTTCTAGGTCCTCCAGATTTGAGAGGTTAGAAGAAGTTGGTACCCACTTTCTTCTGTCTATTTTAGTAGGGGAAGCGAATCTCCCAACCAAAAAAAGGGGGGAGAAAGGGCACCAATTGCTGGGGGACCCAGCTTTCGCTCGAAAGAAAAACACTCCGTCGACCTGGCGAAGTGCTGGAGTGTCCAACTGACTGCCATCGAGGCGCTTGTCCGCGATGAAAAAGAGCCGCGTGGTCGACTGCTTGAAGTAATCCTGCCCTGCTGGGGCCAGCTGGAAGAACCTCAGGCGCTTGCCACTCTCCAGACGCAGGTTCCCAGCAAAGACAGCGGTGCGCGGCACTTTTCGTGGCAGCCCCGGCACATTGACATAGACTGGCCTGTCCGGTGGGTGATCTGCTAAATCCTAGACATGGGTTCAAAGGAAACCCAACCACTAAACCAACTAAAAAGGAAAAAAAAAAAAAAAAACGGGGACCGCCAAGGAAACATGCTTCTCATGATATCACCCTGAGGGTCAAACCACTATTAAAACAATGGGGGGGTTCATATAACTAGCAATATATAAATACCTATACCTAAGGATGGTCATCATCTACATTGGGTCAACCTTTGTTTTACTCTTACCCCTTAAAACTCCAAGCCCTGGGAAGTTAATCTTTTACAGACATATAGCCCATGTTACCCAAAAAGTTGAAAAGTTGTGTTTTTTAAGAGGTAAGTAATGGGTGTTGAGCTCCAGGGATCATGTCTGACGAGAACAACCATGCCGCCGCCTTTGCCGCCCTTCGTTGCCGCCGGAAATGACAACACGCAGCCGCTGACAACTGCCGAATGCCGAAGAGTGGCCAACTAAGCTGAGGTTGCTCACATACAAAAAAACACATCTAGGTCCTCCAGATTTGAGAGGTTAGAACAAGGGTACCTGATTTTTTTCCTGTAGCCTATTTTCAGTAGGGGAACCCTCCCCCAAAGAAGGGAAGAGAAGGGCACTACTGGGGGACCTAGACATGGCACCGTGGATGTGTGATGACATCGAGCCGCCGCCGCGACTGCTGCTGCTGCTTTTGATGTGCTGCTGCTGCCGCGGATCATGTGCTGCTGCGAATGACGTGCTGCTGCTGATGATCATGATGACGACTCGTTGATTATCAGCAGCTCACATACAGACAAAAAATGCCGTGGACGATCAGTTGGCCGTCGCTCGTTCAGGTGTTGTTTCGACGAGCCATGTGGAGGTCATCCATGCCCGGGTCTCATTCCGGCGAATGGAAGCCAAGGTGCACATAAGCAGGACCCTCCGTTTCACCAGCGGTACTTGGATGTTCGATTCGCCAAGTTTGTAAGTGGTAATCGCCACTTGGGCTTTGTCACCCGCTTATAACAAGGTCCACCTCACTGAACGGGGGACTCATAGGTGGGTTCTAAGCAAATTTAGGAGTTAGAAGGGCAAGCGGGTGTACCCCGACAACACAACTTGTGCAAACCAGGTGGCCGTTTGTAAATCTCCCGCCGCAAATAGTTCACCGAGTCCTCCGTTAGGTCCATGATCAGGCGTTCGATGGCCTTGACGTGAACCTGACGCCACAAAAGTTTTGAGGCACAGGAAGCTCAAAGCAGCGAGACCGTGGAGAAAACCTCAGATCCCCCGCTAAATTGACTTTTCGTGGCAAAAACAATGCCCAGCCACGAAGAGACTTACTTATAAAGAAAACATGTAATAAAGCAATAACAATGCCCAGCCAAAAAAGCCTTAATTACAAAGAAAAAAACGCAAAAACAACAATGTCCAGCTAAGAAAAACTTAGTTGCAGAAAAAAAGAGACCACCAAAGACAATGCCCAGCCAAGAAATAATAATTACACACAAAAATGCGTTAAAACAACAATGCCCAGCCAAGAAAAACAACATGCACAAGAAACAGCGGAGAAAAACAACCCACAACTTTTGCTGACCAAATTATACAATATCAGGCCCAACCGTTGGGAACCGTCGGGCGGTCACAATGGAAGCGCCCTTCTTATTTTGGAACAAGTTGAACCCCAGTTGTGGACACCCCTAACCAAAAGGTTCTTGCAAGGAGTGATTTGTTCGGTGACCATTCGTGTCTGTTTGATCCCTCCGCGACAGATCGGCCATGGAGTGCGCGAAAGATGTGTGTCTCCGCGAACGATTCCGCGTTGAGGTCTTGGAGGCATGCCTGTCTTCCATTTGGTTAAGGCCCCAGGAAAGAATAAACATATTTCCAGTAGTGATGATTCCTTTTAAAACCAACAAGGGAAGATAAAACATATTCTTAAGCAACTGGACGCAAGTGCTTTCACAAGCCCCCTGCCAGTGCAAGTGAACTGCGGGTGCTGTGTTTGCGAGCATAGCAGCAGCCAGAGTTTGGCTCCGGAACAAATAAAATGCCATGGCGATGGAATCGCGAAAGATTCACGAAAGAAACATTTTGTCTCGCGAATATTGATCAAGTGCCACATGTTGAGCTGGACGTCCAAAAGCGATATGTGTGTGTGTGTGTGTGTTGCGTTTTAGCCCCCAAACAACAAAGAAGGCTTTCTTCATGGTTTTCTGTTAAATCCAAAAAAGATGGGGGTACCCTCAAAAAACGCACCCATATTCTGTATCACTTGCCAACATGGCTTTCTTCAACGGTGCAGTCGCCGGCTGGATAACTTCAATGCTTCTCTTCAACAAACTTCGTGGGGCTCGCGCAAGTGTTCGAAGCGCATGAACAAAGTCATGGGGTGCAGTATCTGTGAAGCACCGTTGGCTTGGGTCTTCTGAAACTCCCTGAAGCTTCTCCCCGGCAAATATTCATTGACGAACAAGAAGATGAACTCATGGGGGGGGGTCATGCACTAGCTTAGTGCAAAGGGTAGCTGACAAACCTCCCTAAAGCCTCTTCGCCTTGGCTTCTGCAAGCATGTCTGAATTCTGAACCTGATCAGGTCATCCAAAAGAGCAAAGTGGGGGCTGCAAGTCACACAACCAACAAACACATTTGATAGTAAGAAATACAGCAGATCTGCCTGACAAACTGAAAGCCCCATCAGTCACATGGGTCACATGGCTGTGGCTCTCAAAAAACCGGAATTCCAAAATGGAATCCTGGCAACCAAAACCTGCGTCACCCTAGCTGTTTAATTTCGAACCACACCTACATGCAGGGTCATGCGACTCAGCCATAGGTGTCCCTTTAGGAGAAGTAGATGGATTTCCTGGTAGATGATGAAACCACCAGGTAAACCAGGAATCGAAACCGATCTACTTTCGAGCAAAACTACCAAAAAGGACACCTGTGGCACACGACGCCTGTGGTTTGCCGATGTTGGACTTCAGCATCCGCTCCACGTTCTCCCAAAGCCAGTTCCACGCCACTTCGTGGTTCGAGTCCCACTCCTGTCCGATAAATTCGGTCCTCTAAAGTCGCTTCCTGGAAGGCTTCCCTTCAAATGCCAACCAGCCCCCCCCACCCCCAACCCCCGTGAGGGGATCGACGAGTCCAATGCGGATCCTGCACTATTTGGTGCCATCATGAACAAAAACAAGCACCAGGAGTTGTCTCAAAGTAGGACCATTACCATGAGATCAATATTTATTATTGTTTTAATTATAAGCGATTGTGTTTTTGTTCATCTTCCTTTTGTGTCTCAACGGACAAGTAGACTGACTGAGAGCCCACGCTTCCCAGCCGGTTTTACCACGCGCGCTTGAGCCCGCTCCTTGGGCACCAGCGACCGCAGCGACGCCAGCATCACGGCCTTGAACCTGTCGGATCGCGAGGCGGCTGCTCCTCCCTACCGTCACTCGGTGGCGAAATCTGCGAAGCCCGGCGAACAGTGACGAACTTCTAGTGGTTTAACACGGAACACCCATTAGTTGGCAAAAAGTCCGAACAGCCGTTGGCAACATGCACCGAAGTTCTGGGAGGTCCGGGACCCAATTCCAGAGACAGGGAAACAATGAGAAGGTCCCTGGAAAAAATGAGAATCCCCGGGACCCTGAAACCCAGATCACATGTTCGCTACTTAAAGAGACAGGGTACTTAGCAAGTAAATAGAATTAACCTGATTATAACCCAGCTACCATGGCTACAAGTCTAAGTGGGTCAAAACCAGGCATACTAACCACATACTATAAATTATAAGCAGCCCCTTCAAGTAGTCTTCTCCCCAAAAGGAACCATGGAACCACAAATCGGCTTGCAGGGGTCGAACTCCCACCTGCAAAACTGCCCCTAGTCACACACCAAGCAGCTCAGGCAAGGTGATCTGCCCAACATACCTCGGTGCGGAGAGAAATGCACCGCAAGAACCTCGCTAAAGGCGCAAAACCTATATTCTGTTCTGCTCCCCTGCTAAACGTTTAACTTTTTGTGGTCCAATGGAAAACCTGTTCGTTGGCGAAAGTTAAAGTCCTAACATCCAAGCAAAATGCACCAAAGAAACGGTGACTGGAACAGAAGCTGCCTGTGATGTTTGAGTTGGCGATCTTTGCTTATATGTTGAGATGTGAGTGGTGGATCGACTATGCTGTCAATTGACTAAACCCTAAAGCCGAAACCCTATGTGTCAAAGCTGCAGTAGGATGTTCCGAGTAGACCAGCATGAAACCAACCGTTTGCAAGGGTCTCGCTTCCGACACCTATGCAGCCGGTGAACCTTCGTGACCTGACAATCCGAACATGTGGTCTCAAGAGCACCTGTGGGGCACCGGCTTTAAAAGAAAAAACAACAACGCCAGGATGCTGCGACAGGACCAGCGACAGCACATCACACTCCTCCTGCAAGCGGTAGGAGTTTGCCACGTTGGTCACGATGTTGTCGAACTGCTCGAGGACCAGATTCATCCACCCGCCTTAAGCTTCCAGGGTTTGATTCCGTTTCCATTCTTTGCAAGCATCGTTCTTTCCGACCGGATCCGTTTTCCCTGGGTTTCCGGAGGTTTTCTAGAACGATTCCGGATCGGGGTCAGAATGGACATGGAAGGTGCTGCGAGAAAGCCGCCGAGCATCTCCGACTCTATCGGGCGCAACATGAATTTGGCAGTTGGGATGGATGAACCCCTGTGAGTGGATACCCCGCCCATCCCCTGGGCTGTCCTCAGATTGCTGAAAGTTCCAGTTTTGGTGGGCGAATGGAACCCCCACTGATCCCGAACATCGTTAAAGGGGATGGCTGATAAGCCACCAATCCCAATTAGCGCGAAATTGAGTTTGTCCATCCGCAGAATCCACCTCCACGTATCCGCGACTGGATCATGGGAAAGGCGAGTACAAGGGCCAGAGCGACGGCACGAAATCGCCTGTCTGTGAGCCAAGGACAAAATAACGTGTTGACCTCGGCTTGTGCATTGGACATTGTTTTATCCCCCGGTT